TGGAGGTGGAGATCCAGTCCCAGCCTCGGCCAGCCCTAGGTCACAGGCACACTTGCACCTGGTGTACGCAGGGAGGGCTCTGGGGTGTGAACCAGGAACCTTGCCATGTGGCTCAGTCTCACAGAGCATTGTGTTTTTCTGCTGTACCACTATCTGCCCATGTGCTTCCTGTCCTTGGGGGACAGGCATGGGGTTTGTTTGGGGGGGATGAAAAAGTCCTGAAAATGGGCATGATGGTGGTTGTACAATATTGTTAATATGCTTGGTGCCACTGAATTATACACTTAGAGGTGGTTAAGGGGGGGCAGTGGTAAAACGCGACACACCGTGGGACTGACCCATGTGGGCAGACTCTGGTTCATGTGTGGAGACCTCCCTGAGTGTGCCAGGCACACGTGGGTCGGCGATCCAGGCTGGCTAGGGTGGGGAGGTGGAGCATGTCATGTTGGGGTGTTGTCTGTCTCTGTCTCTCTCGTTCATGGAAAAGCTAAACTAAAAAAAAAAAACAAAACAAAACAACTTTTTGTTATGTACATATTACTACAGTGAGACCAAAGTGATTAGCAAGAGATAGAACCCCCCCCACACACACACACACACCAACACAAAGTTATCCACTTGGGCTTGTATGAAATGGGGTGCTAGTTTTGACTGGGAATGAGGTGAGATCTTGCCCAGTTCCATGGGCAGGTGGACACAGGTGTGGGGAGCCCCTCTGGAGGTCTGGGCAAGTTTAGGAGCCAGGTTTTATGTAATGAAGACTAAGACTTTAGGTCTTACTTAGGGCCCTGGAGACAGGAATGGCACCCAGCTGGGGCCCAGGTCCTGCTACTTGCAGGGTAGGGAGGTGACGGGGGTATGGGCAGCACTAGCCAGGTGCCCAGTTTTTCTCTTGCTCTGTGAAGAGCTTAGGGGCCTGGAGACCAAAGAGCAGGATTCTGCCTGCCGCCTGTTCTCCCCTGGAGTAGGCATCCTGGCCTCTTGGAGCCTCTGTTTCTTCCTCTGTGAAATGGGAGCAATACTGCTGGCCCTGCAGGACTGACGGGTTCTTGGAGAGATCAGGCGTGTGACAGGAGTGACACCCCTGCCTGGCCCACAGTAGGCACTTCACAAGTGGCAGCGGTTTTTGCCACGAGCAGCCCAGGTGCCCACCTTCCTTGGCCGTGAGTGGCTTCCATTCTTTAGTAGTTTTTAGTGCCCACACACACCTGTGTTGGCTGTGCACTGGGACTAGCGAGAGGGACAGACGTGCTTCCTCCCCTCACGGCACCTCATTTCTAGAGGGCGAAGCAGATTATAAACAACGAAGTGTACGTACCTCTGATTATAAATTGGGATCAGGTCCATGAAGGAAGAGAAACAGGCGCAGGAAAGGGAAAAGTGCGCGTGTATAACTTAAGGGGGTCAGGGAGGCCTCTCAGGGGTGGCAGTTATGCTGAGACAGAAGGGACAGAGACAGCTGGAGTCAGAGCATTCTGGGCAGAGGCAACGGTATATGCAAAAGCCCTGGGGAAGAACAGCTTCGTGTTGTAAGGACAGAGAGGACCCTAGCGCCTGTGTGCAACCTTGGGTCCTGGGTGAGGAGGATGGACCCAGGATGGTGAGAGAGAGGCAGGGGCCAGGTCATTGCAGGGCACTCCTGCCTGGGCCGGGTCTGGTGCTTGCAGACCCCCTCCTGCTGAGGGGACCTCAATGGGTGTGCCCTGTTGTTGGCATCTGCGAAGCGGGTGAGGGCTGATGAGTGCCAGGCATGGTCTCAGGCTCCGTCTGGGTTGCTGGCAGTCTTACCGCCCCGCTGCAGCTGAGCCCTCCACCTCATAATCTTGAGCCAGACTGTGCCGCTGCAGTGCTGGGCAAACCATTACCCCTCCTGTGCCTCAGTGGCAGCATCTGTGAATTGGGCATGACCAAATGAGTCCAGGCAAAGGGCTCAGTACATGACTGAGCTTCGGGTAGTCTGAGCAGAGGCCTGGGTTCAAAGAGGAGGGGCTCGAGGAACGCTAGCCCAGCTCGGAGGGCGCCGGCCGTCTCTCGCCCACTCAGCCTCCCTTGGCCAACTGAACCTGCACATGCCTCAGTCTCCTCACCCCCAAACTGAGGGCAGAACTGTACGGCTCAGGGTTGTGAGAACTGATGGGACGGAGTCAGGCCGAGCGCTAAGCACGCTGGGTGCACTGCTGCACCTTTTCTTGTTACGTTATTTGGAGAGGAAAGGTTGAAGGGAAGGGCCTTTCAGTCGCCAAGGTCTAGATGTTGCCATTTGAGGGGTGCCAGGGGAAGGAGCTCGCCCGAGCCTGTCTTCCTGGGCCTGAGCCCTGGAATCCCGTGCAGCCATCTCTGGGATGCGAACGGGTGGCAAGGATGGCACTGAGCCCCCCTGGAGACACCCCCAGAGTCTGCCCCTGGACAGAGGGATCCTACCTAGCTTGGGTCCCCAGGGGACAACGAGGGTGGCCACTGCTGGCACCAGGAGTGTGGGCCCACAAGGCACGGGCCAGAGAGGCCGGGGCCCTGGCTCTCCCTGGCACATTCCAGGCTCCTAAGAGGGTGGCTAGGGGCCAGGGTGCCGGAGGGAAGGAGAGAACCTTTTAAGGAAACATTTCTCTGCTTAAAAAGAGAGAGAGAGAGAAAGACAAGAAACATCGAAACACACAGCAGTCAGGAGGCTGGCTGGCGGGCCAGCCTGGAATGCGCTGCTGTGGGTGGAGGGTGGAGGAGGAGGCGAGGGGCTCCCAGGCATCAGGCCCTCTGGCTGGGCTCGGCAGCTTCCCAGGTTCTTAGGGGATGCCTGTGCCTCAGGGGGCAGGGGAGGAACTGGGTCCCCATTCTTCTACTGCCATAGGGTGGTTTGGGAGAGAGGCTCTCTCACTTGTCTCCAAGAATACCCGTGTGTTCTGGCCCTGCCTCAGGATGTAGCCACAACCCCCTCTCCCCACATTCTCCAGCCACCCCTTATGAGGCAGCATCCCCTCCTCTTGTAGCTTAGTCCTGTATTCAGCTCCCTGCCCCAGCCACAGTTCCAGCTCAGAGGAGAGGAACAGAATGATGTCACTGTCCTGTGAATTGTCCCTGCTCCCAACAGGACCCAAGAAACCCATGGTGATAGGGGGTTGGGGGAGGGGGTCCCAAGGTCCTGATTCATGTTGTTGGAACCTCACAACCCCCAGAGCAGGATTGGGTTATGTGGCAGGAGCAGCAGTGTCTCCTAAGGCTGGGACCATGCCAGGTGGGCAGGGCAAGCAGGGCTCCATGGTTGCCCTGCAGGCCACGGCCAGTCCAAGGGACCTTCCTCCCCTCCCAGGCTGTTTCCCAGCACCCTTCACACCACCCCTGGACCCTGTCACTCTAAAGGCCTTGTCTATACTCACTCAGTACCTTAGGCTTGCATACATAAGGGCCCTGGTCTTTGGGGCCCTGTTCTGCCCCCTTATGTTTCTTCATGCTCCTAAAAGTGGGGCTACTAGTGCTAAGGTCCCCTTTACACCTGGTCTTGGCAGCCAGACTGCTTAGGTTCAGATTCTGGCCACTTATCAATCGTGTGACCCTGGGCAAGTTGTTTAGCTTCTCTGTGCCCCATGCACCTCAACTATGGCTGTATGTTAATGTTGAAAGGATTAAATGAGGTAATGCAGGTAAAGGCGTCCTAACAATGCCTGTGACATAGAACACATTCCTAAGTGTTAGACATCATGGCGGGGGCAGGTACTGATGATTCTCCTGACAGTCCTAGAGGAGCTAGCCAGGGAGCCTGCAGTATGACCGGGTCAAGAACCGGGATGCTAACTCCCAGCACCCCACTGCTCCCAGAGCTTGGGGCACATTGTCGCGCAGGTGTTGTCCTCACTTGTGCTGGTATGTCAAGCTGGGAGAGTCCCTTGGGCTGGTGGGACCATAGCATGGGATGAAGAAGAAGGGCTCAGCTAAGGAAGCCACCATGAGCAGCCAGCGCCAGCCAGGACTAGGGGTTCTCACTGTCACCCCCCCACTGACGTGCTGGGTAGGGCGGGACTAGCCACCATCAGAGAGGCAGCCAGCCCCTCTCAGGCCATCCAGGACTTGTGCCTGAGGGACAGCCTCCCCCTCTTGCCTGGTGTTTGGGTCAGGAATTAGAGCCAAGGTTGAGGACTGAGCTCCAAGAAAAACGTGTCCCAGCTAGAAAAAGGAGCACATTGAGTCTCCGATAAATGCCCCTGCTAATTGTCGGGGTGAAGTTTGGCTGCCAGGCCTGGCCCAGGAAATGTTATCTCAGAGAAGGGAGCATTCGGGCCCTCCTCCCATCCCTCCACTCTCGCCCTCTCCCTTCTGTCTGTCTGGAGGCCCAGGTTGACATCTCCTTCTCCTGCTCAGAGTTAGTAAGAGGAGGAGGATGAAATCGATGATAGTAATCGTTCACCCATGGAGGGTGCTTCTGTCTCTCAGGGCCTTCTGTGTTTATTAGCAGCGCTGATGGTTTTATTGGGGCTGGCAGGGGCCTTTGCCGAGCTTATCTTCCCCTGCCCACCAGCATGCTCTGGGGAACTTTGCCAGAGCAGGGAGGTGGGAGCCTTTGCAGCCTTGACCTTTGGGTGAGATACTTTGGCGTTGGGGAGAATGGAGGACGTGGCTTTTCCTTTTCCAGAGGTCTTAATCATGGCCTTTATAATCTGAAATCAAGTCTTACTGTACTGTGGATAATTCAGGAAAGATCCTTACCCCATTACTACTGTCCTGGGGTACTGACCTCGGCCTTTCAGCGTCTGCACATTTTCACACTTTTGACTGTGCTGTGTGCATCCCTTTTCCCTCTTGCTGCCCACCCTGTTCCTCAAACCTTACTGCCTAAACACTTCCCCACGAGGCCGCGTAGTTGGATAGCTCTCAGGCTGAAAGGTCTCTGTGTGTGTGTTGCAGGCAGGCGTTTCTTGCATGGAAGTGGGAGGTGTGGAGTGGACTCAGGTGGTGAGGCCCAGCTCTCTGGAGATGAGAGATGCTAACCTGCCCTTTCTCTGCTCCTCCCACAGGTGGCTGGCCCCTGCGTCCCTCCATCCAGCCATGAACTGGTGGTAAGTGATCCTCATCTCGCAGCTTCTCCCCCTCCTTCCTCAGCACCCCAACTCTGGCTTACTATAGACCCAAGTTATAGTGGCTTGGGTGTTGGGCAATTAGGTGGGGAGGAGGAGGGTAGATACCCTGAAGCTGGATGGAAGGAAGTGCGTCATGAGGTTTCCTCTGATGAGATGCAGGGCCTGCTCTTTCCAATCTGGACACTTGAGTCCTTGGAGAAACCCATAAAAGGACATCTTGTGTGTCTTCAGGCCTTGCTGGTGCCCATCGTCCTGGGGTCAGAGAGCCATGGGATGCCATGGCATCTCCTCCCACCTGCCTGGCCCTGGGTCAGCTATTCTGCTAGAGGCAGGAAAATGATGGTGTGACTTAGAGTCCATCTGTGTGGGCAGCTCCTTGCATCCAAGCGGCTGCTGTTCTGCCCCTCAGTGCCCTGGCTTGGCTC